GCTTCACAGGACGCCACAGCAGGGAATTGGGGGGGGGGCTGCCACCCTGAAGGCCCCGCTCCCGCCAGCTCTGGGAGCTCTGCCTCTACCCCACACACAGAGGGCCCCTCCCACCACCGCCTCTGCTGCTGCTCCTCCTCCTCACCTGGAAAGTGCGCAGCCAGTCCTGGAGCTCAGGGGGTGGGGTGATGGGGGGGACGTGTCGGCAGCGGGCCTGGCCTGCCTTGGCATTCCGCAGGTCCCCAAAGGTTGCCGTGGGACTTGCAACGCAGGGGCCCAGCACCCTACAGAGGAAGCAAGGGCCGGTAGAAGAAGAAGAGGAGGAGGAGAAGGAGACTGGATCTATACCCCCGCGGCCCTTCACTCCCCGTATGAAGCGGTACAATCAGGGGGGAAAGGAGGAGGTGGAGACTGGATTTATACCCCTTGCCCTTCACTCGGCGTCTCAGAGCGGTTTACAGACTCCTTTCCCTCCCCCTCCCCACGACAGACAGACACCCCCTGTGAGGGAGGTGGGACTGAGAGAGCTCTTGACAGAAACGGCTCTTTTTCAAGGACACCGGCCCCCCCTTTCCCACCAAGGAACAGCTGCCCCCCCCTCAAGGCTGGGCCTCCCTCCTCTCCCCACTCACCTGCCACGCTCCGAACCTTTGCACAACTTCTTCCCGGGCGACTGGGCTCTGCTGTCCGGGCCGCTCTCGGACTTCCGCTTCATCTGCAGCAAAGCGGGGAATGAACCACGTGAGCAAGCCCCTCCAGCTGTAACAGAAAGCCTCCAAAGCAGCCCCCTCCCCCCAGCACTCAACCCTACATCAGTGGGGCGCGCATTCCCACCGCCAGCACTTCCCCTGCTATGAAGGAACCCCCCCCCGCCTCCCTGCGGGGGCATCTGCCACAGTCCTCTTCGCTCCCCAGAACTACTGCAGCGTGAATGATCACCACACCGTTCAGGACCACACCGTAGTCCGGGACTCCTGCTTTGCGGAGGCATCATCAAGGCAAGGAGCGAGCACGGATGCATGTCACAGAAACCTCCCCGTTTCTGCCTCTGCTGCCCCTCCCCTGACTTTAAGCACCACAGTCCTAGTTATAGCCGTGAATATGTTATAATTAGAAATCCACACTTAAAACCCCAAAATTATATAGTGTACAGAAATTCTCCAAAAAACTGCAGCGTGGGCCTGTCTCCACAGGAAAGATATGAGCACAGAACTGGTGTGGAACGCAACGTCCAGAACGCACCACCACACCGCTTACACGGAAATGCAGAGCGACTAGCGCCAGAGCCTCAAAGAACTCAAAACACCCGCCTGACGGAACTGTCCTAACAACAAAGCAGGGAAAGGAAAGCCCTTCCATGCCTGCTACCGACAGCAAAAACAGACTGCGGAAGAGCAGATGAACAGACACCCCCCCCCAACAGACAAAACAAGCTTCCCGGCTGAGACACGGCTGAATCCGTGAACGCTGGGCTCCCAGAACAGACCCCACCACCACCACCAGAACATAAAAGAAGCTGTGCTGAATCAGCCAGTAGCCCATCCAGTCCAACACTCTATCCACCAGGGGGGCCAGAACTCCAGAAGCCCTCCTCCCACTGTTGCCCCCCTCCCCCAAGCACCAAGAAGACAAGAGCATCCCTGGTGAGAGAAGCCAGTGTTGGGTCAGGCCAGTGGCCCATCCAGTCCAACACTCTTGTGCCACACAGTGGCCAAAAACACCAGGTGCCCTCAGGAGGTCCAGCAGTGGGGCCAGGACTCCAGAAGCCCTCCTACTGTTGCCCCCCAGGCACCAAGAATACAGAGCATCACTGCCCCAGACATGAGTGTTCTGTCTATACCTTGTGGCCAATAGCCACTGATGGAGCCCTGCTCCACTTGTTTCATCCAGCCCCCTCTTGAAGCTGTCTATGCTTGCAGCCACCACCACCACCACCACTTCTTGTGGCAGTAAATTCTGCATGTTAATGCCTCTCTAGGTGAAGAGCCTACTGCTCATCCATTTCATGGAGAGCCCCCCCAGTGAGTTCCTGTACTGTAAGAAAGGGAGAGAAATCCTTCTTTCTCACCCTCCCCTCCCCTGTACAAAACTTCGCAAGCCTCCGTCCCGTCACTCCTCAGTTGTTGTTTCTCCAAGGACATTGAAGATAACTTGTAGGCTTTCTTCGCAGGGAAGATGTGCCACCCCCGTCTTCCGCATACTTTCCAATGCCGTAGTGACTTCTTTTGAGACGTGATGCCCAGAACCCTACACACGATTCCAACCCAGAGCACACTGGCGATGTACACAGGGGCAGCAGGATACTGACTGATGCGCATTTGCGCCGCTTATTGCAGTCGCGGACTGAGGCACCCACCCTGCCTCCTCCAAAGTCTCTCCCTGGATCGGCAGCCTGCCCCCCCCCCCCCCCCCCCC